AAGTTACCATGTTTCTCTTTGTAATTTTTACATTTATAATTTTGTACATTTACATTTAAATTTTATTTACTTATTTTAATATATATTTTATTGACTGTTATTAGAGTTGTCCCATTTCCCCCCCACTTTATTCCCCTCCGCCCTGCACCCCCCTTTCCCCAGCATTCCCCCCTCTTAGTTCATGTCCATGGGGTTGTACATATAAGTTCTTTGGCTTCTCCATTTCCTATACTATTCTTAACCTCCCACTGCCTATTTTATACCTACTATTTATGCTGCTTATTCCATGTACATTTCCCCCCTGTTCTCCCCCCTCTCCCTCCCCTCTGATCTCCTTTTCTATGATTCTCCTCCTGTTTTAGTTGTTTGCTTAGTTTGTTTTTGTTTTTGTTTTTTAGGTTCAGTTGTTGATAGATGTGAGTTTGTTGTCATTTTACTGTTCACAGTTTTTGATCTTCTTTTTCTTAGATAAGTCCCTTTAACATTTCATATAATAAGGGCTTGGTAATGATGAACTCCTTTAACTTGACGTTCTCTGGGCAGCACTTTATCTGCCCTTCCAGTCTAAATGACAGCTTTGCTGGATAGAGTCATCTTGGAGGTAGGCCCTTGCCTTTCACGACTTTGAATACTTCTTGCCAGCTCCTTCTTGCCTGTAAGGTTTCTTTGCAGAAATCAGCTGATACTCTTATGGGAACTCCTTTGTAGGCAACTGTCTCCTTTTCTCTTGCTGCTTTTAAGCTTCTTCCCTTATCTTTAATCTTGAGTAACTTAATTATGATGTGCCTTGGTGTGTGCTTCCTTGGGTCCAACTTCTTGGGACTTTCTGAGCTTCCTGGGTCTTCTGGAAGTCTATTTCCTTGGCCAGATTTGGGAAGTTCTCCTTCATTATTTTCAAATAAGTTTTCAATTTCTTGCTCTTCCTCTTCTCCTTCTGGCACCCCTATGACTCGGATGTTCTATTGTTTAAAGTTGTCCCAGAGGTTCCTAAGCCTCTCCTCAATTTTTTGAATTCTTCTTTCTTCTCTGTTCTGGTTGAAAGTTTATCTCTTCCTTCTGCTCCAGATCGTTGATTTGAGGCCTGGTTTCCTTCCCTTTACTGTTGGTTCCCTGTATATTTTTCTTTATTTCACTTTGCATAGCCCTCGCTTTTTCTTCCTTATTTTATTTATTTAAAATTAAATTTGTAAAATTGTATACATTGTACTCAATAAATATATTGAGGGATATCCTTTGAGACTCTGCAAATGTCCTGTTTCTCCTCAAACTTGTACCTTCTATTTCCCTCTCTCCTTTGCATTTAAAAATTGACATTCTTCTGAAAGGAAGAGCTATCTCTTCTCCCTCATTTGTTTTTTCCCAACAATTTATTTATATCCATGATCTCATTTTATGTTCATTTTAAACTTTGGGTTTTGATCCAATACATTTACTATGTATTTGCTAAAATTGTCCCCACTCTGGCCACTGGGCGCTCCTTCAGATTGGTTCTTGTGTTCTTTTGACACGTCGCCATCTTTTTCTAAGCACTTTCTTTTTTCCTGGCACCAAAATATGTTCAAGGATAATCTTCTGTCTCCCCCATTCCAGCTGTATAGCCATCTGCGTTTTGAAGGAATGCTGGTTTCTTTTACTGAAGAGTGGTGCTTAGAAATCAAGATCTGGGTGCTGGGTTTGCTCACTGCTACTGGATGTCATTTCTTCTAGGCCCTGTCAGAAGACAGAGCTATGGTTATATGTATCTTCACGTACACACATCTATATCTGTATGTTGTGGTCTGAATGTCTGTGTCCCCCCAAATCATATGTTAAAATCCTAATACCCCGGGTATTAGGAGATGGGGGCCTTTAGGAGGTAAATAGGATGTAATTTAGGAGAGTGAAGTCCTCGTGAATGGGATTAATGCCCTTATAAAAGAGACCCCAGAGAGATCCCTTGCCCCTTCTACCATTTGAGGACACAGTGATAATGTCTGAATGTTTGTGTCTTTGAACCAGGAATCAGGCTCTCACCAGACACTGAATCTGCTGGAGCCTTGATCTTGGACTTCCCAGCTCCCAGAACTGTGAGAAATACTTTTCTATTGTTTATAAAGCACTCGGTCTATGGTATTTTGTTACAGCAACCCTAATGGACTAAGATGATGTATCTATAATAACACCTGTAAGCCAGTTTATATTAATAACTCTGGCTTCAGTCCAATACCACAGGGTTCATTTTAGCCTCCTCCTTTTCCTTATTTGTAATTTCTTTAACAGGGATAAATCTTGCTCTCATTATCTACAATATTTACTTATATATTAAATCCTAGTATTTTAAGTGTCAACACCAAATGTGGGGGTGGTTTTCCCTCACACCAAGCAATCCTGACACTAACTACCCATATTTAGCACAGTCCCGAAAGGTTAAGGGCTTATTTCTGTGACCTTTCTTCCACTTCAGACACCAATTGCAAGTCTGGGACTCCCACACTTCTAACTGACCTGCTATTAATGGACGGTTCCCACGACCTCCTCCTCAGGTTCAATAATTAGCTAGAAGAGCTCACAAAACTTAGTAAATACTTACTATGTTTACTGGTTTAATATATAAATATGAAAGATACAGATGAACAGCCAGATGAAGAGGTGCATTGGGTGAGGTCTGGAAGGGCCCTAAGCACAAGGGCTTCTTTCTCCGTGGTGTATGTGCGGCCTTCCTAGCACATAAATGTGTTCGCTAACCTGGAAGTTCTCTGAACCCCATAGCGTAGGGATTTTTCCTGAAGCTTCATCTCATAGGCATGCGTAAATATTAACTCAGTCTCCAGCCTCTTCCCCCTCCCCAGAGGCTGAAAGTTACAAGTTTCTAAACTTGGCTTGGTCTTTCTGAGGACCAGCTCCCATCCTGAAGCTAACTAAGAACCCACCCAGAGTTGCTTCATTAGATTAATAGAGGTTTCCATCACCCAGAAAATTTCAAGAGTTTTAGGAGCTCTGTGTAAAATGATCCTATCATCTCCATCATCTAAGGAAATCACAAAGGTTTTAGGAGCTCTTTGTCAGGAACTGGGTGCTCATAGTAGGTGCATATTCACTTCCCCTTACATCTACAAGGCATAATTCTCAGACCTAAGAAGTCATGGGGTGTTTTTATCAGCCTGAGGGATCTCATGGCCTTATCACAAGAATGCCAAGGTGTAATGAGGCCTGACTATCCAGGCACCGATCTGAGCACTTGACACAAATAATCTCACCATGGCTAAGGTCTGCCTTCTCCCCATTCTTATGGATGTGGAGGCCAAGGCGAGCTGTCTGTTGTCTCCAGAGCACACGTGCTTGCTGAGTCAGGCGGGCCCCAGGCCTGCAGTTCTGGAATGCAGAGAAGCCGGATGCCGGATGCGGAGCTCAGCTGCTGAGCTGGCTCCCCAGAGCTGTCAAGGGAGGTTGTTTCATGAATCACCCCGCCCCCCTCCACCCCCACACACAACAGTGAGGTTACCTTGTAATGGAGCTGAGCTCGGCCTCTCACCTGTGGCAGCTCTGTCATGGCCCTGGAGATATGCCTGTGGCAGAGATAGGAAATGCCCTGAGGTTGTGCTTCCATCCTGTGCAAAGTTCACATACAACCAGGTGCTGCAGGAAGTAAACTCTGAATGTGCTTAGGGAGGGGAAGTACCTTAACCTGTGACTAGCAGGCCAACAGATGGTAGTGGCTGATTTTTTTTTTTGGAACACCTACTATGTGCCAGTCATTAAAACCTTTACCTAATAGGAAGTATTATTTAGTTCTATGATTCTTAAACTTGAGTGGACATCAGAATCACCTTGGGGGCTTGTTAAATTACAAACTGTTGGTCCCACTTCCAGAGTTTGCAATTCAGGAGGACTGAGATGAAACTGAGAATTTGCATTTCTAAAAGGTGCTGCTGATGTCCAGGGACCACATTTTGAGAATAACTAATTCGTTCAGCTTCCTTTCCCCTGCTTAATCATGGTCTTCAAGTTTCTTCTTACATACCACCAGGACAGAGGGTTCATTGCCTATTCCATCAACCTATTTCTAAATAGTTCTGACTGTGAAGATACGAACTTTTTGTGTGTGCTTACGTTGAGATGAAAACTGACTCTATCGGCTCTCCCATGTGACCCACTCTTTCTGCCTCTAGATCATGGTGTCATCACAAAGGAGCTGTTGGAGGGGAGTGGAGACTTGCATTTAGAACAAGGATCTCCCTCACACTCCACAGTTCATTGACCACCAAGTCCTGTCCATTCTCTCCTATCAATCAGTGCTGTCCAATAGAAATATACTGTGAGCTCTATGTACTCACAACAAAACTTTGATTTCCCAGTAGCTGTATTAAAAATAGCAAAAAGAAGCAAGTGAAACTAATTTTAATAAACATTTTCTTTACCAATATATCCAAAATATTATCTTTTAACAGATAATCAATACAAACATTCTTAATAAGCTGCTATATATATTTTATTTTCATACCACATCTTGGAAATCCAGTGTGTATTTTAAACTTAGCAGCACATCTCAGTTCTGATCAGTCACATTTCAAAGGCTCTATAACCAAATGAGGCTGTGGCTACTGTTATGGACAGCGTAGTGACCTTCACCCTGTCCTTATCTCCCCTGCAGTGCCTTGTGCTCCTCGGAGGCCTGTCTCTCACTGCTTCCCCACCAATCCACAACGTGGGAGCCAAATTGTTGTCTAAAACATAAAGTTGATCATGGTTCTCTTGCGTGGTTCCCCATCACTTTCAGGATAACGTCCAGCCTCCCTGGTCTGGCTTCTGAGGCCCTGCTTCTCTCACTTTCCCTCTCCCTTCCTTCAGCTCCCAAGGCCCCTCCTCTCCCTCTGTACTGAATTATTTGCAGATTCTCAACACAACAGTGACTTTTTTTTGTTTACAGTGTAAATTTTTATATTTAGAATTAGCCAGCTGGACCCAGTCTAGAGAATCCCAATTTTGTTGGCAACTTCCGAAGCATCATAGTCAGGAGTCAGTCAGACATATGCCTTCTCCTCTCTGTCAGGCCTGATCAGGGTGTTGACCTTGGCCACATCAATGTCACAGAGCTTCTTCACAGCCTGTTTGATCTGGTGCTTGTTGGCCTTGTCATCCACAGTGAGCACAAGTGTATTGTCGTCTCCTGATCGCTTCAGGCCTGACCCGGCAGTCAGGGGGAACTTGATGATGGCATAGCGGTCACACTTGTTTCTCCTGGGGGCGCTCTTCTGAGGACATCTAGGCTGCCTTTGGAGCCACAATGTCTTCAGCCATTGGAAAGTAGGTGACTCTTGGATCTTCTTTTTTTATGGCTGTGGATGCCTTTCAGCACTGTTGTTTTTGCCTTCAAAACCTTTGCTTTGACTTTGGCTTTGGTGGGGGCAGGGGCTGCCTTCTTCACTTTGGGCACCATCTTCCTGAAATGAGCAGTGCCCCTTACCTCTCAGCCTTCACGGTTTCGCATGCGGTTTCCTTGCCTAGAATGCTTCTGTAATGCTTCTTGGACTACTCTTTTGAGTTACTTATTTATTCAACAAAATTTATGGAGCACCTGCTATGTGTCAGACACTGTCCTGGATCCTGGAGTAAACAAATACATAACAAGGAATATGCATAACAAGAAAATATATGGTGCATCAGATGGTGAACAATAAGGCAGGCTGAGAGGAAGAGGTGGTGCTGGCAGTTATTACTTTATTCAGGGTGGCCAGAGAAGGCTGCTTGGAGAAGGTGGCATTTGAGTAGTGACCTGAAGAAATAAGGAAAGGAGCCAGGCAGCCATCTAGGGAAAAGCATTCTAAGTAGAGGAAACAACCAGTGTAAAAGCCCTGAGGGAGCCCTGAAGAGGGAGCCTGAGTGGAGTGTTTGGGGGCACATTCTAATGTGGCTGGGGCAGAGTGAGAGAGGTAACCATAGGATTTAAAGTCAGAGACAGCAAGAGGTGGGTGGTAGGTTGTGTAGGGCTATGTAAGAACCTGAGCTTTATCCTGAATGAGCTGGGAGCCATGGGAGGGTGCCCAGTGGAGGAGGTATGTGAGCCGAGATGGGTTTTAACAGGGTTTTAATCTTTTTGGTTGCTGTGATCAACAGTTGGTGGGCTGAGGACAGGAGCAGAGAGACTAGCAAGTGTATTGTCTGGACCAGGGTGGTTACCATGTACAAAAGGAGCCAGGTTCGGAATATGTCAAAGGTGAGTCCAACAACGCTTTTCAGATAGGTCAGATACAGAGTTGAGACAGCAATGAGTAAGGGATGACTCCAAGATTTTGGCCTGAGCTTAGAATTGATGACTCTTCTTCCTGGAAGCCCTCCTGGGAACCCACTGCTCCTGAGGCCTTGCCCTCGTGGGGCCTGTCATAGCCTTTCTCCTCTGGCCTGGGTGCTCACCGAGGCAGTGTAGGACTTGCTTATTGTCCTGCTTTCAGAGTGTTTGATAAGTGAGTGAGAGGCAGAGGCAGGCTGAGCTGGGTTACTCCGGCCTCAGCTGCGCGAGGTTGCCCCCGTCCCGCCTTGGGACTTGCGTTTTCCCATCTGCAACAATTTATTCACCAGGAGAGGGCACTGCCAGTCTGCTCACAGGAGTCCCTAGCCCCTGGAGCCTGCCTACCGCATCTGCTGTCTGCCCTACCTCACACTTCCCAGTAGCATCAGGTTGGCCCACGTGGCTGGGCCCTGAGTCAGCCTCACCAGTTCAGGTGGAGGGAGGACATGGGAGACACCCCACCTCCTCCCGGCTCAGAGCTTAGCACAGCCAAGGGTGATGCAACTGTCCCCTACATCACTTCCCCCTGGAGACAGAGGGCATGGCCATGGCCCGGGAGGTGGATCTTGGGGGTACGGTTGCCCCATCTGCTGCTCCTGGGGTTTCAGAGGGAAGAGTCAAGTCGGGCAGGAAGGCCTGGGGCTGATAGCACTGGCAGGAAGGAATGCCACTCGGATGAGCCCGTGAGCATGAGTGGGTGAGCGAGTGGGGCCCAGGGACACGTCATGCCCCGCCCCTTCCTCGTCACAGGGGTGTGGTGAAGCTCTTCTGCTGTCCTCTTTCCCTACCCAGCCTGGCATCAGCACAGTCCACACACAGCTCGCCTTGTACCTGACAAGCGTCGGGACCGCAGGTAATGGGACATGGGGCAGGGTGAAGAGTTAAACCTCAATCGGTTTTTCAATAGGCCTGATGTTTTGTGGCTCCTAGATGGACCTGGATTTGAATTCCAGCTCCATGTCTTCCTGTCTGGGTGAGCACCTCCGTCTCCATCTCTTAGAAAATCAGGGGAAGATAACAAATACTCACTCCCCTGGGTTGTTTTGAGGCTTCAGCCAGGCAGAGCAGGTGGCCAACTCCTGATTCTGTCACTAACCTACCATGGGATCTAACCTTCAGAAAACCCCTTGACCTCTCTGAACCTCATTTCCCCATTTTTGAAATGAAAAGTCTGACTAGGCATTTGAAGGCTTCTCCCACTTTGCCGTGTGGGACCAAGCAGTTTTGGAGGGTGAGTGTGTGTCCCCTCAAACTTCCCAGGATTAGAGGCACCCGTCCTCCTGTCCTCCCCTTGGAAGCCACCCTGGGCCTGGGGCCAGGCCTATTAGATATGGAAGAACAAGGCCAGTTGTTTCCCCTGTTCAGGCTCACAGGCACCTTTGGGGCAAAAATGCTGAACAGAGGGATCTGGGCCTAGGGAAAGGGGTCCTGCTGCCTGTCAAGGCTCACCCAGATGGCGTGGCCCAGAGGGGGACCCCCACCCACCCCAGCCCTAGTACCACCATACCCTCCACTCCCAGGCTGTCGTCCCAAATCGGAGAAGCCACCTCTGCTGAGAGCATCCCAGCCCCTCTCCTCAAAGGTGACCTTTGGGCCTCAGGCCAATCTAATTTCCTTTTAAGGAGGACAAGAAAGATTACATCGAGCCTCATGCCTACTATTGTTCTGTTTAAAAATGAAGAGAAAAATTGTGTTAGGAATGTGTGTTAGGGGAAGCTGTATTGAGTGAAGTGTGGGGTGTCCTGTTTGGGGTTGCAACTAAGCAGATTAGTAAATAATGAGACTCCTTCCTGGCTCTGAAGTTCCTAGAATTTGGGCCAGTACAGCCGTCTAGGACCTGCGCTTTGCTATCCTCGAAAAGCCACCCATGCTGTCTTGCCAGAGGCCCTGTTTTGCTTTCATAACAATCCTGTATATGAAGTTCTTTTTTGAAAAGATTAACAACTTTATTAAGATGTCATTCACATGCCGTAAAATTCACCCCTTTAAAGTGTACAATTCTGTGGTTTTTAGTATATTCACAAAGTAGAACAACCATCACTACTATCTAATTTAGAATATTTTTATCGCCCCCAAAATAACCCCATGCTATATGGCAGTCACTCCTCATTTCCCCTTCCCCCTGGCAAGCACTAATCTGCTCTTTGTCTCTATAGATTTGCTTTTTCTAGACATTTCTTATAAATGGAATCATACCATACACAATCCTTTCTGACTGAGCATAATTTTTTCAAGGTTTATACATGTTTTAACATGTGTCAGCACTTCTTCCTCTTTATGGCTGAATATTGTATTATATAATTATATCACATTTTGCTTATTCATTCATCAGGTGATGGACATTTGGGTTGTTTCCACCTTTCGGTTATTAAGAATAATGTTTCTGTGAACATTCATATACAAGTCTTTGTGTGAACATAAGTATTTAATTCTCTTGGGTATATATCTAGGAGTAGAGTTGTTTGGTCATATGATAAACCTAGGTTCAACATTTTGAGAAACTCACATTTTTTTCCCCAAAACCTCTATACTATTTTACGATCCCATCAACTATGTACGAAGGCTCCAACTTTCCACATCATTACAATACTTGTATTTCTTTTATTACCCATCCTGTTAGGTGTGAAGTGGTATCTCATTGTGGTTTTGATTTGCATTTCCCTAGTGACTGATGATGTCAAGCATCTTTCCATGTGCTATTGAGCGTTTGTGTATCTTCTTCAGAGAAATGTCTCTTGAAGTCCTTTGACTCTTTTAAAATTGGGTTATTTGTCTTTTTATTGTTGAGTTGCAGTCATGACCACTTTTTCAAAGGACTCTGAGGCTCCAAGAATGGATAAGGCTTTCTGGGGTCCTCATAGTCAGTGATGGGTGCAAGTAGGAACTGAATCTAAGCCTGTCTGACATTGAAGAGCCAGCAAGCTCTTTCTGTGCGCTGAATACCTCCTTTCTGGTTTCTGTTTGTGTGCGCACATGTGTGTGAGAGAGAGAGAGAAGAGAAAAGGGAGACAAAAAGAAAAACTTAGATGAGAGAAGAAGAAACAGGAGATTGGACTGGCTCTGCTTAAATAGGCACACATCTTGGGGAGTTAGAATCAGGGAAAACCTTTTAAGACCTTTTGATTTCTTCCCATTAATTTTCAAACATTTGGGGAGCCTCAGAAAAGTTTTTTGGATGGTACACTCCCACCTAATTTTCTTAAATCTGAAATAAATCTGATTAGATCCCAAAACCCAAACAGGGAATAGCATCCCAATGTCTAGCTGGGTTACACTTTTTGATTGCACACTCTTCTCCAGAAAAATGCTTTAGGCACCCCCAACATATACATATTATAGATATTGAAATTATATACAAGTACTGTGGACCTTTAACTAATGTCTCAAGGCCCAATATGCTCTTGGAGTGAATTTTCTCACTGATGATAGCGAATGGAAGTTCCCTTTTCAATTCATTTTCTTATTATTATTTCAGTAGGAAATTGTGTGTGAGATAGATCCCATTCATTTTTTTTTCAACGTGGTAACGTGGCTGATGAAGGACTTGAACTAGGAGTGGGGGCGGGTCTGTCTCCCACATTTCCTGCTGCTTGCTTGTACTTTCTAGATTAGAGTTATCGCCATTCAAGGTTCCTCTACAGGGACTCTTTGAAGCCACTTGTCCGTGTTATGGGGGCTGATTCAGTTACAGCTATATTGTTTGATCCTTAAATGTACCCAACCCAGCACAAGTATACCGCAATATGGCATAACAGGCTGAATGTGGAGAATGGACAATGTGGCCACAGCAGAACTGTCTGTATTGTTAAGCTCCCCACTGGCCTCTGGGGACCCCACTGGCCCCTGGGGACTTATGGCCAAGGGTGCGCATGAGAATTCAACTGTATACTATTAACTATTTTAAGTTAAAAGTTAAATGGAAATAGTTGAACTAATATGTTCCTCCTGCATTTTGGAGACTATTATTTGAGAGATTAATAGGTTCTGAGCTAAGGTCATCTAAGCCAACCCCAGCCATTCCTCAGTTTGCCACCTCTCATGGTAGGAGCTCATGACCACCCCAAAATAGAAGTCATTTTAAGAAAATTCTTTTGTATAGTGAGCTGGTGCCTATCCTGGTGGCTCCCCAAGGCCCTGACCCCTTCCTCTGA